AGGGGGAAAAACATTGAAAAAAATTTGAGAAAAAAGTCTGAACACAAGAAATGTTTTTTTTTCTTTGCTCTGTGTCCCTAATCCTTCTCCGTACGAAGAGGATTYGTCTGAAAGTGACCAACATGTTCCCTCTGCTCTCAGTTTTAAGGATTTTTATGAAATGGAGCCRCACAAGTTCCAAAACAAGACCAACGGCATCACTCCTCGCCGCTGGCTGGTTATGTGCAACCCGGGTCTGGCAGAGGTCATCGCAGAGGTCAACCTCAACACAAAATGAATTTTTAGGTCTCACTTTGTGGTAAAAAAAAAAGAAAATGTTATAGATCATGTTCACTGAATGTATTTACTGTTCAGAGAATCGGTGAGGAGTTCATCCGTGATCTGGACCAGCTCAAGCGTCTCCGTGACTTTGTGAACGACGAGGCCTTCATCCGGGATGTTGCCAAAGTGAAGCAGGTGATTCTGGATCAGATGTTCAAAAACATGAGAACATATCTTCTACATCACATTTATTATACATTATTTTTCATACATTTATTTATTATACATTTAAAAGCAGCTCAAAACATAACTTGTTTGTTACTCTTTTAAAAGGGATAGTCTATCAGCCATGAAGAATTAGAGCATGGAGAAAGAAGCATAAGTCTTCATCCAGGCTAGGCTAATGGTTAGCCAAATAAAACGATGCTTTCAATACACAACATACTGGTGTAAAAGAACACTAAYTGATAGTGATGTTGCACTCAACACCTTCTTTGCGACACTTTTTCGAGCAAATTAAGAAGTGTCGTGAGACAGTGTTTCAAGGAGAAGTGTTTCTCTGCAGACTCAAAGTAGGCATGTCTCAAGCATAAACACTGATTGGCTGGTTGTATTTCGAAAAGCTTGGTTCTTCCTTTTTGTTTTTCCTTTCACTTTTGACTTAAACTACTTTCACATTAATTTTAGCCGCCAAAACTGCATTTTTTTTAATGAAATCACAATGCATCATTAAAAACAAACATTTAGTTCTCCCTTTTTGGGTCACATTTGGGTAAAGCCAGCAATAATTATCAACAATGAGCTCCAGGTTATAAATAAGATCAGGGCTGCTTAATTATATACAATATTTTTATAATGGCACAGCCACTTTGTACTGTAATATTACTGATAAATAAAACAGTCAAAATAATTGTGTGTAGAATCTTTATCATGCAACCGAGCCTCACACAACACACTTGCAGCTGTAATGTTAAAGTTTGGCCAGCAGATGGGGCAACATTTAAACGTATCAAAGTATTTGAAACGCTGACTCATTTCATCACAATGGTTTCATTCAGTGGTTCAGAAAGCCTCGGTTTAGCCATCATTGCTGTTTGTTCAGTTTGTCGCTGTTTTCCCTGTCTAATGGTTGTGTTACTTTAAAGAAGCATCCAGCTGAGCTATTTGCTGCTTTGTGATCAGCATGATATTTTCCCACAGCAGTGTTTCCTGAAACCTCAGCACCAGAGTTCAACAAAGGTTTTGTGCAGCAGCTCCACTTATGTCATTTTGGGACTACATAACAACACCCAGATAGACGTGAGAACTGTGTTGGTGCGGCCCTGTTATAAGGCCTTAAAGCAAAACTTCATGTATTTTGAAGAGGAGTTCTTGTTCTGAACAAAGACCATCTTACTTGTAGTAAATTGTTCTTGGTTTTCTCAGTTTGGAGAAACTTGTTCTGAAAGGAATAACAAGCTGACAGCTAGTCCAAGTATTCAAATGTTATCTAKAACAGTGGTTCCCAAACTTTTCAACTTTTGACCCACAAAATACCAGCAGAGACCTGTGCCCCCAGATGTTGTGGGTGATAAACACTGTTTTCACATCAAATAAACAAGAGCATAGTAACATTATTTACTACACTGTTTTTGTCCATTTAAAGTGAACTAATCTAATTTTGTAACAACAAAAGCAAAAAAAATTAAGGTCTTTAGTTGTCATTTTTAGTGCCATTAGTTCAGAAAATATTTTAAGGACCCCACCTTTCTGGATCCTACTGTGGGTCCTAACTCCAACTTTGGAAACCACAGAACATGAGGGACACCAGACTGATTTGAGGACTGACACAGAGGGACTAACGAGGAAAGGAGGGACAGGTGGAGGTGGGCGTGACAGACTGAGGGAGGTGGAACAGAAGAACACAAGGGGGGGGGGGGACTGAAATACCAAAAACAGGAATCACACAAACTCCAGTAAAGAAACAAACAAATAAAAACCACCCGGTCACTGATTTACTCTGTACAGATTTTTACAGCACATTTAAGCATCCTGTTCTCGTTTTCATGCAAAACTGGTGCTGTTACCATGCAGGAGAACAAAATGAAGTTCGCTGTGCACTTGGAGGAGCACTACAAGGTGAAGATCAACCCCAACTCCATGTTTGACATCCAAGTAAAGAGGATCCATGAATACAAGAGGCAACTGCTCAACTGTCTTCACATCATCACCTACTACAACCGTAAGATCCGTTCAGAAACCTCAGCCCTCYGATGTTTTTATCTAATGCTTTGTGTGAGTTTGAACAGCTTTTTGTTCCCTTCRTACATCTTCCAGGCATCAAGAAGGATCCAAACAGGCAATGGACTCCTAGAACCATCATGATTGGAGGRAAGGTTTGTGTTTGGGTGAATCTGCCTGCATTTAGGTTTGATAACGTGGCTCAACAGAGTCTGCCTTTGCAGGCTGCTCCTGGATACCACACGGCCAAGATGATTATCCGACTGATCACAGCCATCGGCGACGTCATCAACAACGACCCCGTGGTCGGAGACCGTCTGAAGGTCATCTTTCTGGAGAACTACAGAGTCACCCTGGCGGAGAAAGGTGATAGAATGCAATCACTGCAAAGAATTAAGATGAAAATCCAAATCAGTCATGGACTGTTTTATTAAAAAATTTGTCTCGCTGCAGCCATCCCAGCGGCAGACCTGTCAGAGCAGATCTCCACTGCAGGCACAGAGGCTTCAGGAACAGGCAACATGAAGTTCATGCTGAACGGTGCTCTGACCATCGGGACCATGGACGGAGCCAACGTGGAGATGGCCGAGGAGGCCAGCGAGGAGAACCTCTTCATCTTCGGCATGAGGGTGGACGACGTCGAAGCTCTTGACAAGAAAGGGTGAAGAATGAACCCCACCTTACATCTCACAAAGTTCAAACCTGTTGAAGCTCCAAATACCTCTCAGACAATGTAAAGACATGTAGACCCTGATGAAATCCTTTAGAGGGAAATACAAGACAGCAGAAACAAGAAAAAAAAGAGTTCATTCTTTGATTTCTACTTGTGCTGCTGCAGTCTCATAATCAGATCCATTTGGGGAAATACCTCCAAGACAGGCCAACTGTCAGGATCTTTTAAAATCAGCACACACTAYCCAGCTGCTCTGCAGGCTTTAATAATGAGCTCATTCTTGCTTTTTAGCCACCGGTACTGCTAGACTCCAAGGTTTYGTCCACACATATGAAGGTTTTTCATAYGAAAAGGTGTATCCCTGGGATACCTGTGCTGGTTCTGTATCTGCAGTGCCCACTGCTCCCTTATGAACAGTTACCAGAGTGATAAGCATGTGTTTCATTATTCATCTTTCCTCCTGCTTAGATACCATGCTGAAGACTACTACAACCACCTGCCTGAGCTGAAACAGGCCATCGACCAGATTGCTGGTGGATTCTTTAGCCCGAAGCAACCCGACCTGTTCAAGGAAATCGTCAACATGTTGATGCATCACGACCGGTACAAACCCATCATCAATCACACRTGAAGAAGAACGTGCAAACCTGAATCAGTCTGGGAAAAAAATCATTTGTTGAATTTGTTTCCTGCACAGGTTTAAGGTCTTTGCTGACTATGAAGACTATATTAAATGCCAGGAGAAAGTCAACGCTCTTTACACGGTATATACATGGTTTACATTTGTGTGGCTTTACTAATAGGTCTGGGACAATGCGGCTGTAAAATGTATCACAATATAAGCATTTTATATTATCAGTTATTAAGGATTAGTTTTTTTGTTTTATTTATTTAAATAAGGACCAGGAAAAAAAAAGGCTAATCAATACTGCCAAACTGGTGATGTGACCATTCCTCTTTTAACCACAATTAAGCTGTTGCACTCATTTTCACCTTTCACTCCAAATCCTGTGAGAGGTCAAGAAGCAAAGCCTTTCCTCTAACTACATCCCCCAGAATGCCATGCAGTTCTGGATCGAAGTTCAGTGAAATGATCAACGTTTTTACCAACATATTTTCTGTCGATATTGATCATGTGTCTACCGCGCACATCAAAGTGAGGATTAAGTCCCAAAGTAGTAATGGGGAAAAATGGGCAGCTAAAGTGCCTTAGTTAAAATGTTTGCAACAATTGCAATTTCATTAAAATATAATGAGTAAATACCTTATCTASAGGTCRTTTAAATGAAATACCTAAAATATTGAAAAGCCTTAATTTCTTGTCATTTTTCCTGCGAGGTAGCTAAGCAGTTTTTCTTTCAAGGCTTGTAAATCAGGTTCCCTCTTTAAATTTACATCAATATTTCCTCATTAGAATAAACTAAAAATAGGATTTAGATCAAATGTCAATGAGTTATCCTAAATAGGGAGACAAATCAAGCCATATCTCTGGAATTGCTCACAATATCAGGTTGATCCAAGCGTCAAAATGTAGCTTAAAAAGCTGAAATGTGACCAAATTTTACTTAATTTTGAGTTTGATGTGATGGGTCACACATATCGTTATTGTTTTATTGTCCAGGCCTAACTACAAACATTTTTTTCTTATTTTTTTTCTTCTTTCTTGTTAATGACTTTTCTCCCATCAGAACCCCAAGGAATGGACCAAGAAGGTGATCTACAACATTGCTGGATCTGGCAAGTTCTCCAGCGATCGCACCATAGCCCAGTATGCCCGGGAGATCTGGGGGGTGGAGCCCAACTTGGAGAAACTCCCCGCCCCCGATGACAAACACTAACCCTGTCCTCATGACAGCTAACACCGCCCAAGTTTTCTCAACAGGGTCAGATCCCCATAGAACCTCTGTCGTTTCTGCCAAGAAGCACCCCCCACCCCAACCGCCCACCCCCACACACAAACCTGCATCCACACCTCTAAACCTTTAACATCTGGAAAGTTTACATTTTTCATACACATGCACATTCACAATCCAACTGGTGCTGATAAACTGTAATCAAGAGTTACTTTTTAGCTCTTTTGATGTGGATAAAAAATAGGTTTTGTGGTGGGCTTTGTACTTTTATTACTGATCCTTTTTTTATTCAAAAATATTGTATGTCCACTCAGATGCTTTCTGAATAAAATTTGTCTTAAATACGAGTGAGCTGAGTAGCTTTTTTTTTTTTTTTTTTTTTTTTTTTGCAGCTGGTGCTCAGAACTTTGCAGAGGCAAAAATCACAGAAATACTTGATGTTCTTCCCAGAACAGCTGTGGTTAATTGAATAATAGAATAATAGTCTTGATAAAGCATTTTATAAATAAACATCTTATYAATCCAACTTTTCTTTCAAAAGATTCATTCAGTTAGTTTCTAATTTATATAGTATTAACAGTGAAATTATGTTGTAATRTTTATGTAGGTAAGTAGATTTAGTTTTAAGCTTTTAGAAGAAAAAGGAGAGTAATTTATTTTTCTGTTTATGTTTCTATATAAGGTTAGAGTTCTGGGTGTAAAAATAAACCCAAGAAAACTAATGAGCTTTGAGCAATTTTTTCTCAGCATAAAGAGCTGATGCAATGTCCAAACCTGCCACTAGATGTCACTCTACCTCACACAATGCTCCTTTAAAGCCAACATGCACCTGTTGATTACAAGTGTTACAGTATTTGTAATACTGTATTTCTAGTTTAAGTGTGCATGAGGTGAAACCACACAACTTGAGAAATAAGGACAGGATTTTACTTTACATATCAGTAAACCTATAGGTAGAAACAAACTRTAATTATAATCATTGCAAAAATCTGTTTAATTTAATTACGATATAAAATACTGGCATTTCCTCATTAAATTGTGTTTAATCTGTGAAAAAAGTCGCATGGGATAAAATCAAATAAAACTTAGTTCTGAAACAACAATAAAGAACCTCGGATGTTTGGTGCCGTTGGATCAGTCATTAGCAAATTCTGTCAAAGCAACTTTTTTAGGGAAATCATTAATGCTGAATTTGGAAACTTGGACCAAAAGCCACAAAGTAGAGCGATAATTTGGTGGTGAATAACGTCCTAAATTAGCTTTAATGTTCGGCTATTTTTTCTTATTTTCCAAGACTTATTTTCTTCAATTTATTTGTTTGTTTGTTGTCAGATGTGTCTTTTCTCCTGGTAAATAAATTCTCATTGATTGCTTTTAACAAATTCTTTAAAAATTGTACTTTTATTTTACAAGATGGTATNAAACAGCATAATATCTAAAATAACTTACTTGCTCGTGTTGCTGTCACACATGGTGGTGACAGTTATAAAACACAAAAACATTTAACATAATAACCAGAATGTAAACAAGCAGCAGAAATTGATCATTTTAGGTGACAAATACTGATGTTTTCTTAAAATATTGTGGATTTGCTTTAGTTTGCATTATTCCTTTAATTTTAATAACTTTTGTAAGCTCAGAGATGGACAAAAGGAGAAAAGGTCACAGTGTGTGATTAGTTGAATATTAATCAGCATCTTTTGCCATGTTAGTCTCTGGTTGTTCTGATTCACTGAATGTTTGTTTTCCCACTTAAAATCAGAAAAAGACACAAAAAAAAAATTCTCGGTGTTCCGTGTGCAYACATGGTTCTTTTGTCATATAAAAACACTGTCCTTCACATTAAGTAACCAGTAAAGGACATGAAGTGCTTCACAGTTGATGACAGATTCCTCTTGGTGCTGCAGATCACAGAACTGCTGATAATTTAAGACGTTACKTCGAGCAAGCTAGCTGTCAGAAAAAACCTGATTGTAGGCGCGGCAGTGACGGAAAATTTTTGATTTTTACAATTTTTTTCTTTAACACTTTCTCAAAGGTGTTGACTCGGATTTATTTTAAAGGAATATATTATCATATTGAGTGAGTAGTTTGTTGCACATTTTGAGCCATTTGTTAATATTGAATTTGAGGAAACTTTTCACAGTAATTTCTCAAGTTTGTTCAATCATGTTTTTATGTGTAACATTTTGACAGTTAACTTTTTTTCACAGATGCTGGATCAACATTCATATTTTTTGCATAGCTGAAAACCTTTAAGGAATATTTGATTTAAACAWCTTGTGGTTTCATWGCTGAAGGAAACAATGACATTCGCAGACCTCCTGGAGCAGGTGGGCAGCACGGGACGCTTCCAGGTCCTGCATGTGTCGCTCCTTTGCCTTCCTATCCTGATGATGCCCAGCCACTTTCTGCTGCAGAACTTTGTGGCCATGGTGCCTCCTCACCACTGCAGCCCACCCTCCAACCTCTCCGGGTCTCAGCTGAGCCCAGAGGAGACGCTGCTCATTGCCATCCCACTGGATCCTGCAGGGAAACCACAGAGATGTCAGAGATACGCGAGCCCACAGTGGCACCTCATGGACAAGAAYGGGAGCTCAGCTTCAGAGGAGCGTGGTGAGGATGAGGATGTTGTCCTGCAGGGATGCACAGATGGGTGGTCCTACAATATGATTGAGAGGACCTCCACTATTATATCTGAAGTATGGCTGCATGTTCAACATAGTTTTACAATAAATATTTAAACTAATGATTAGATTTTTTTCATTATTTGATAGTGGGATTTGGTGTGTGACCTGCGCTCCTATAAGCAAATGGGACAAACTATTTATATGGCAGGTACGGTCGTGGGGTCTCTTATCTTTGGAAGCCTCTCAGACAGGTAAGATTTACTTTTTTTTAAATGACGTCTAAACATTTAGTGATTCTGGATCAGTTATCCTAATAATAACATATTTGCTCAACATTTTTTATGAACAAATTACTTCATAGACTTCACATTTTTCTTCTAGATTTGGTCGACGTATCCTCCTGATCATTTGTAATCTGCTGATGGCAGTTTCAGGAACATGTGCTGCTTTCTCCTCCTCCTTCTCCCTCTTCTGCCTGTTCCGATTTGGTTGTGGGATGGCTGTGTCAGGCGTGGGCCTCACTGCCTTCTCACTCAGTAAGACAACTAACAAAGGGGAATAGGGACAAAATAGTTTGAAAGGAGTCTAAACTGGATAACGAACATGTTAACAACTGTGGGTTCACTGAAAGCAAAGGTTGAAAATGAGCAGTGCATATTTTTGGATGTGCGGTTTTGTGAAAAAGTAATGCACTGGTAATATCTTACTTGTTGAAAATAATTAAACCGCCAAAAAACTTTTGAGGTTGGAGCTGTTTTAAGATGGCAGCAGTCCACTTTGGCCTTGTGCCCACTTTAGCTGACTTTTTTCTCTACAGTGATGCCATTCAAAGAGTCATCTACTGAACAGCTTGGATCTTTTTTATTGTTGTCAATAAACATGGCTCTTCTTAAAAAAAATTTGAAACCTTCTGAAAATCTTTCAACTTTGTCAGAATTGTTCTCAATGCTCCCATAACCTCAGTCACTTTTCTACCCTTTAATGTTCTTGAAGGGAAAATTCAGCTAATTGAAATACATTACGGATTCTATATTTATCATATTGTACAACACTGACTGCAATATCTTTCAGGTTCTTTTAAATCTCTATCCTTCGACTGTTGATTTTTTCAGCCCACTTGGTGGAGCTCCACATTCACATTTAAGGGAACATGTAGTAATGACAGGGCAGTCTTCATATACGTACATTGCCTGCCCAGAAAAAAGGTGCCTCTTGTGTGGTTGCAACCTGTTGTCTCATTCCAAGCTCTTGTCTCTTTTGAAAAAAAAATTGTARTTTGGATTTACAAAGCAAAAATACACTTGAGTTGTGTTTGAGTAAACATTTGGTACTAAACATTAGATCTACATGCATGGAGGTTAAAAATAAAATTATCCATGACTAACCAGAGTGGGCTGCTCCAAGGCGGACTGCTCTTGATTAATTTAATTCTTGCTCAACGATTTCATGTTTCTTTGTTTAAAGCTGTAGAGTGGATCCCCACTCGTGTGCGGACTGTCACTGGGATGATTTCAGGTTACTGTTACACATTCGGACAGCTGATCCTGGCAGCCATTGCTTACTTCATCCAAGACTGGAGGTGGTTAACTCTGACCGTGTCGCTTCCCTTTTACGTCTTCTTCCTCATGTCATGGTRAGAYACCAAACACAAAACACGCAGCTGGAGTCAATGATTTGTGATTAAAGTTACACATTTTTATTGATAAAATATGTATAGTTCAGATCAGAGGTTTCTAAACAATCTGGCTCATAGGTGAACATCCTAATTAATGCACTCCTATTACTTTGCTTAGTAATTTCACTAGAGTGGTCCTGTTCTACGAACAGAACAAAAGCCAGACTGCTCCTCTGGAATCTGGGGTTTGAAAATCAATCAGTTTCTTCCTTCCAGCACCCTGGAGTAAATTTCCCAGGGTTTTCACCATAAATGGAAAATACTCTCTGAATCCCCTTTTAAAAATGTGAACCACTGCCCTGGTCTGCCACTCCATCCTTGTGACATTGAAGCTACACCCCAAAACATCTAGAGTCTTCAGCCTCTCAGGGTGAATCTCATCCACCAGAAGCAAACTTTTACCAGGGAACATCTTGACTACCTTTGCCATGGTAATGGACTTCTCTCTCCAAAGGTCCAAGGACTCTGGCTCCTGAAAGGTGAACATGGTGGATGGATTATTAAGATCTTTGAAAAGCTCCATTCACCACTAAACAATATCCTCAGTCCAGATCATTATTTCCCCACCCAAACCAAAATGGCTTGGGTTTGAACGATTTGCCAGAACCTTGTGGCCAACTTAAAGTTCTTCTTCATGGCCTCCCAGAGTTCTTCAATACACAGCCTTATGCACCTGCAACAACATTAGCTGCAATCTTTCTGGCCACCCTGCTTCAGGAGTTCTCAGGGACAGCCAAGTACTGACACCTCACCGCTGGTGTTCACCAGCAGATTGTTTGATTGATGCTGCATAGCAACCAATAACCTTCAGGCCACAGCTCCTGAAAGCCGCATCTGTAATAGAGGCCCTGAAAATGCCCCATTCAGATATGTCTCCAACCTCACCCGGGACAATGAGAAAAACTCTCCTAGATGTGGTAGTTATAGATTGCATGGACACTGGGCTTCACCAAACATTCACAGTCCTTTCTCACTATGCGTTTGTTTTCATCAGGTAGCTTCCCCTGACACCAGACAACTCTTCACCAGGTAGTGATCAGCTGACAGCTCTGTCCCATCTTCACAAGAGTGTCCGAGACACAAGTCCTCAAGCCTGATGATAAAATTACAAAATCAACCTTTAGGTGTCCTGATACCAAAGATACTTATGGACCACCTTATGTTCAAACACAGTGTTTGTTATGGACAGTGAAGGCCTATAACAAAACACAATTCAGATTCAAATCAGGGAAGCAGTCCCTCCCAATCAACCCCTTATATAACTTTGTCATTGCCTACATAGGAATTGGAGTCCAATTCCATAAACCAATAAAACCATACATTAATGAAACATTCATTTGAATGTACGTAAAACTTTGATTACATGGCCAGTACTACCACCACATCATTATATTCATGTGTGTATTTTACAGGTGGTTTCAAGAATCCTCAAGATGGCTATCTTCAAGTAATAGACCTGAAGAAGCCGTCAAGGCTCTACAAAGTGTGGCCAGGTTTAACGGACGCCATGAGGAGGGAGAAAAGATTGATGTTAATGTGAGGCAGACGCACAATCTTTGTTTTTAAGTGACTTTCTGTATTCTGTTTAAAACTATGCTCCCTCTTCACACAGACACTACAGGAGTCCATGAAAAAGGAGATGTCCTGTTCCCAGGGGTCATACTCTGTCCTGGATCTGTTCCGCATACCCAACATGAGGATTATGACCCTCTGCCTCAGCGCTGTTGGGTGCGTGTCATGATCTTATTGAAGAACCAATAAACAAGTAAAACCCATCTTCAATTATTCTGCAGTGACACTTTCTTTTTTAGGCTATCAACCAGTTTTGCATTCTACGGCCTCGCTTTGGACCTTCAGAAGTTCGGTGTGGACATCTACTTGATACAAGTGATCTTTGGAGCCATCGACATTCCTGCTAAATTTGTCATAACTGTGAGCATGTGTTTTATTGGACGTCGGCCATCACAAAGTGGAATTCTCATTATTAGTGGAATCCCTATTTTGATCAACATTCTAGTTCCTTATGGTACATTAAAACATTTCTAAAGAGAAGTGAAATACTTGTTTTTATTGTCACAACAATACAATCATTTTGTTCTGCAGAAACAARTGAGAGACCTGATGGATGTTCAATTTCTCTGCAGATAAAAATATTATTCGAACCTGTCTTGCTGTGTTTGGGAAAGGTTGTCTTGCTGCCTCTCTTGACTGTTGTCAGCTTTACTCTGGAGAGCTTTACCCAACTATCTTCCGGTGAGTCTTTTGTCCCTGGTGAATAAACTTATAATGTACAGTATTATATACATGATATTCTCCAAAACACATATTTTACAAGGAGTACATGTCAGGTTTAGACATAGATTGACCCAGGACACAAGCCGAGTTCGGGTGCAGAAAAAACAAATTCTGTAATAAATCAAAAAAGCTAACGAAGCAGCTGAAAATCTCACTAGATGAGACATGGCAAAACTCCAGGGACATGAAGAACCAGACAAGCTACACAGCACAATGATCTGATGCAGACTGAACATAGGACACAAAATATAAAGATAAACTAATGAGAACAAACAAGAAACACCTGGAGGAGACACAAGGGGAAACAGGTGAGCATGGGCGGGGCAGCAGAGCAGAAAACACAAGGGAACACTGAAACACTAGAAAAACCAAGGCATAGAAACACAGACCATGACAGTACCTCCCACTTAACGATGGCTGCAGCAGTCAACAAAGGGAGACACGTGACAAAACAGACTTGAAGACAAAACATGAAAGTTCAGGGGGATGGCCAGGAAACCATCCAAAACAGAGCTCAGCAGGAACAGGGATCGAACCATAGGAGGAGGCGGCAGCAGACGTGGAGCCAAGGGAGGAGGTGGGAGCAGACGTGGAGCCAAGGGAGGAGGCGGGAGCAGACATGGAGCCAAGAGAGGAAGCAGGAGCAGACGTGGAGCCAAGGGAGGAGGCGGGAGTAGACGTGGAGACAAAGGAGGAAGCGGGAGAAGACGTGGAGCCAAGGGAGGAGGCGGGAGGYGATGAGGAGCCGTCGGAGGTTGAGGGAGCCAGAGTCTCGATGACACTGATCAAAGACGACAGAGWGACGAAGAGATGATGGTCGACGACCCAGGCGACATGGAAGCAACGGCAGCTAACCCAGGTGACATGGAGGTGACGGCAGCCGACCCAGGTGACATGGAGGCAACGGCAGCCGACCCAGGCGACATGGAAGCAACGGCAGCTAACCCAGGTGACATGGAGGTGACGGCAGCCGACCCAGGTGACATGGAGGCAACGGCAGCCGACCCAGGCAACATGGAAGYGATGGGTGATGATCCAGGCAAAGAGGAGGCGATGGGCAACGTGGAGGCAACGGCAGCCGACCCAGAAGTCGCGGAGGCGCCGGCAGCTGACCCACAAACCTCAAGGATCGCTGACTTGGGGCTAGCCAACCCAGGAGACACCGTGACCGCCAAATCAGGAGACACCGGGACCGCCAACTCAGGAACCGGAACTGGAACCACCAACTTAGGAACTGGGACCAGAACCACCAACTCAGGAATTGGGAYAGGAACCACCAACTCAGGAACTCCAGATGACTCGGATGACTCCAATGACCCAGATGACTCCAATGACTCAGAAGCAGGAACAGCCGGTTCGGGCAGCAAAGGCTCAGGAACACCAACAACCGGCATAAGAAACACAGAAGGGGTGGGAGGGTGGGTGCATGATGACTCAGCCAGAACCCTCTGAGCAAACAGAAGGAGCCGCTGACGGCCAGSGAGAAGCARCAGATCAGGGCGACCCACCAGAACGCACACTATCTACCAGCAGATGGGCCGTCTATCGGCGAGCGTGGACGTCCACCTAAGGATCTTCACTGCTCCTCCGATGAGAGAGGAAGTCACCTGTTCTTCCCAGGGTGGCAAAGACGGGACTGGCTCCTCAGGGGCAGAAAGAAGAAGACCAGCTGCAGAGGGGCCAGGTGACGCCGGTGGACTCCAGTGACGAGAGGTGAGAGACTGAAACGCAGAGGGGCAGCGAGAAAAAATGTCTAAGTCCTCTCTGGGAAAACCCAAAAACGAGGTGCCTGTGGGCTGGGTGCTTAGTCGGATCATTGTGTCAGGTTTAGACACAGATTGACCCAGGGCACAGGCAGGGTTCGGGTGCAGAAAAAACGAAGTCTTTAATAAATCAAAAAAGCTGACGAGGCAGCTGAAAAACTCACTAGATGTGACGTGGCAAAAAGCTCCAGGGACATGAAAAACCAGACAAGCTACACAGCACAATGATGTGACGCAGACTGAACACAGAACTCCAAATATAAAGAAAAACTAATGAGAACAAACAAGACACCTGGAGGAGACACTAGGGGAAACAGGTGAGCGTGGGCGGGGCAGCAGAGCAGAGAACACAGGGGAACACTGAAACACTAGAAAAACCAAGGCATAAAAACACAGACCATGACAATACAAACCTGATGCTTTACAGTCCGAGGTTTATCAATTGAAACATAAAAAGTCCTTGTCAGGTATAACTTATATTGTACTTATTAAACTTAAACTAGCCATTAGCTTGTCAATCCAGTCAGACTGTAACCTCACATTAAAAGATCTGAACTGTGATTTAACCATGTAGTTAAGTTTGTTTGACTTGTTCTATCCCAGTCAAAAAGGCATGGGATGGGTGTCCATGATGACTCGATTAGGATCCATGTTAGCCCCCATGGTGATGATCACTGGGGACTACATACCCTGGCTTCCAGGCCTGATCTACGGAGGAGCTCCAGTCCTCTCAGGAGTGGCAGCAATATTTCTACCAGAAACACGTGGCACACATCTTCCTGATACAATTCAAGATGTGGAGGAGAGGTAAGATGTATTTATTTATTAAATTTTCCTAAAGCATTTGCAGAAGGATAAAGAATGACACTGATCAATCTCCTTTCTCATTTGTTGTTTTGATAACAGGGAATCTGGAAAAAGTTCCAAAGTATCTCTAAAGAAAGCAACGACCCTGCAGGAAACTCAGTCTAATCTCCTCAAACAGACTGCCTGAGACAACTCAGCAACAGCTCTACTGAATCTGCTATGGTAGATGTTTTGATAAAATACAAGAAAATTTGTTAAAGTCTTATTTAGTTTGATTGTGACACTGCTATTTTAACCAGTATTTCCCAAACATTTCGCCTTTTGACTCTCATAATAACAGATGGGGGAGCTCACAACCTTAACTAATGCTGGTTTATCCACAAACAAACCTGATTAACTGCTGCTGCTGTAACATGATGTTGTAGCAAAATAAATAAATACATACATACAGGTGCTGGTCATAAAATTAGAATATCATGAAAAAGTAGATTTATTTCAGTAATTCCATTTAAAAAGTGAAATTTGTATATTATATTCATACATTACATACAAA